AAATATTATTTTATCACATTTGGTTTTTGGGAACAAATTCTGCAACTCTTTTAAATCAAAAGGATTTACTCTGAAATTATTCTAAAAGCATAAATGAAACCGGTCTTTTATTGCCGTGATTTTGGGGATGTCACACGTGATTGTGCACCTCCTCATATTTTGTTTCATGATTTTGGGATTACTTTTATATTGAATTTGTTTTGAAAACTATTTGTAAACAATGGTGATTTTTGGGTTGTTTTAAAAGTTAGATTTTTCATGAATTTTATGAATGTTACACCTATCCTGAGGTAGTTAGGTTCTTATTGGGTTAAGTGTTCTTATTTAACCCTACTCATCATTTTATGTGAAACAGACACTGTTTCAAGTGATTATGACATGTGATCGGATATTGACTCAAGTATCTTCCTGTAGGTGATTGGAAGTGAGTTGAACCTATAGAGTTCTTCGTTACTGTTGTGGTTACCTACATGTATATTGAGGTAAGTTTCCTCACTGGGTTAATGGGTCTAAGGCACCAATACTGACCCTTGTTATTGTATTAGGATGCTAGGAGTCTGTATGACCCTTATATGCGTTATGTGATGCTATGTATACCAAGCGAGGCTCGATGTCGGGCAAGGCCTGACGATTGAATCGTACGTTGTTATTTTATGTTTGTGGTCCGTGTTAGCATGATTATGTGATACACACACACACACACACACACACACATATATATATATATATATATATATATATATATATATATATATATATATATCATATGTGTGTAGTGGGCGAGGCCCGATGCCAAATAGGGGCCTGATGAGTATATTGTATGATAGTCATTAGTTCCTGTTTTTATGCTTACCTGGCAAGGCCCGATGTCGGACGGGGCTCGATGACTGTATGATATGCTATAATCTATGTGATTATTGCATGTACTAGTAAGGTTATATGTTTATATGATTATGTGTATAGGGAGGGACCCGATGTCAGGCGGGGCCCAGTGATTGACAGATCTGTAATCCGATCGGGGCTCAATGTCGGGCGGGGCATGAAGCCGAGCAGGGCTCGATGTAGGGCGGGGTCTGAGGTCGAGTGGGACTCGATACCGAGCGAGGCCCAATGAAGGATGTATGGTATGTTGTATCTTGGGGAATTCACTAAGCTTTGTGTTTACGGTTTTTAGTTTATGTTGCAAGTGTTTTTGGTTTCAAAAGTAAGAGCTCGAGATAATCGTTGGGCACACACCACCTCGTTTCGTATTTTGTTATTCACTCTGATTTTATAGGTCGATTGATACACTTGTTTTATCAAATTTGTATTTATGATGTTTTTGGAATATTGTTTTTATTAAATTAAAATGACATTTTTGGGTCTTATATATATATATATATATATATATATATATATATATATATATATATATATATACTAGTGAATTTGAGAGGACCGTGCTAAGCATGGCCCACGATGGGTGTTTTTGAAATTTTAAAAATGATGTACAAAAGGTAAATCAGATATAAAATGAAATATGCACGTCTTAATATTTCTTCCAGGTTAAAGTGTAATGCTATAAATGGTTAGAATTTTCAAAGTACATCGCCTTAATAGTTGTTTGTGTTCGCCATCTCATGTTATATTTCTTGTTGATAATTTACAATTTTGTCATAAATTGTGACGTATGTTCATATTGTAGCTTGGCGAGACCACTGGTGTATGGGCTAATTCATATTGTAGCTTGGCGAGACCACTGGTGTATGGGCTAATTCTGCATGAGTTTTGTTGCTGTTGTGGTAGCTGTTGGTAAGAAAAAAGCATATTAGATACTAAACTTATAAGTTACAGTTTTGCCAGGGCTTGACATTGACTATGGTACCTTGCAAGATAGAATATAAATATTGAGGTCTTTATTGTGAAAATTCCATAAATGCGTAGATAATAAATAAAAAATCAATACAATTTAAGTATGTTAGTCCATATATAGAAAATGAATGTAAGAAATTAGAAAATTAGGTGGTTATGTTACAATTGCATCAGTATATTATTGGTATTAGCATAATTTTTTGTAGAGATGCCCTTGTGGAAATATGGAGAGCTTAATGTTGATTTGATTAAACATCTAAAATGATAAATTAATTTCTCAAAGTGGAAGTTCTTACAGAAATGAAGAAAATTGCAAACAAGAAGAGTACATCGAGAGCATCATAATCAGTTAATTTAATTCTCTTTTTTCAGGCCGTTATAAAATTATCTATAACTCTAGTAGTTAATATCTTTTTATTGAAATTTAACAGTTACGATCATCTCCAAGCCCAAATTAGCATCAATCGGAAGTTAAATTTCCGTGTTTGCTTGCTAATCTACCATATTAACCTTTTAATGGAATTTACATATGTGTATCACAGAAGGTTCTCACATCAACAATACACTGATGTAGTAATGAATTCTATTAAAACAAGGAATGCTACTACTAGATACTTAATAGTTGATATGGTAATGAATATTATTATTAGATACGTAATTATTAGAGTACACTAACTGACCCAATAACCATGTTCGTCATCTTTCATACTTTAATTGCATGATCAAATAATGAGTCTTAACATTGGTTTTAGATTTGAATCTTAAATAATACATCTGTATCATATTTCAAAAACATGTAAAAAATAGGTTATTCTGAAAGGTATCTCTTGCAAGGTATACAAAGGGAGAGCCTTTTATTTATAGGTATGAAATATGTGTGCTTCAAACAAAAAACAATAGATGGTGAAATCAATAGATGATACTTAAAACCAAGCCGCCAATAAAGTCCAGCCACCGCCACAAAACATCCCTAAAACCATGACCTGCAAGTGTTGACTTCCATGAAAGAGAAAGAGAACTTACATCACAATAGTTGTTAACTCAACCATCCAATGGAAAGAACTCGGATTGATAAACACGGAAGAAGAATCATGAAATTTTAAAAAATAACAAAGTGAAGTGTAATATAAATGTAAGGAAATCGGAAGAAATTGGTAACTGAAAGCATCAGGCATATTTTCTTCTTTACCTTCAGAAGCGGGAAACAAATTAAGGAGCTAGCAACCAGCTTTGGGGGAAACCCCACCACCAAGAAGAAACCCCACCTTGAAGTCTTCAGGGTCAGCATGAGATCAGGATGACTGGAAGCAAGCAGACAGCTATCTTACCATGGATGGTGGAGGTGTGACAGAGCTGATGTTGTATAAGTTGAATGGCCTCCCACAAACGTCTTTATTGGAGGAAGGAAGCTGATGATTGACATAGACATAAGAGGATCTCGTTAGCATATAGGTAAGCATTGGGGGAAATGCTCCCACCAAGAAGAAACCCCATTTGTATATCCAATATTGAAGTCACTTGCAAAGATGATAGCAGTATGCGGCCCGTATGACCCGAACCGTTTCTGGTTACGTTCATTACTGGTGACTTCCATCAAGTAAATAAAATCATGTAATTATGTAATAATCTTATGTAGTATCTGAATCAATATATATATATATATATATATATATATATATATATATATGTATATATATATATATATAACAAGAAACATAAGCAAAGAAATGCAAAAGATAACCAAAATTACAGTCATCTCATCTTTGAGGCATTTAGTCAAACACTTGTTAAGCAATAAGAATAAGTTAAATATTTAGGTGAATATCATTAGTAACTTTCATCAAGGAAAAAAGTCGATTTAGCAATCCAAAACTGACGGCCTCATCCGAATAAGAGATAAATCAAGAAAGAAACATGTGAGTTTCAAGAAATTTCATGATAATCATTATGTTATCCTTTAATATATTCAAAGAACTTTTGCTCGCTAACATATGGTGATTTATGTAAAAGTAGAAAAACATAATTCCAAATTTTCAGATTTTTACTCATTTGGATTCCAGTTAAAAACAAAGCTTAAGAAATTGGTTGATTTCACCCATTAGTTTCCTATTCTCCTCTCTATTAAAAAATGAAAATAGAAAAAGGAAGAGAATCAAGTACCTGATAGTACAGTTGTAAAAGCCAATCGACGTCCTAGGAAAAGCAAATAGCTAGATTTAAAACCCTTGTAATAGATAAAACAAATAAAAGATAAAAACATGTAATTAAAAGCTTAATGAACAAAAAAGAGTACCTAGAAATTCAATGTCATTTTCTAACCATCTCTTAGTAGAATAAGAACATGTTCTTCATAAACCCCAAATAAAAATAATAATAACCCTAAAAACAAAAGATGAATACTTTGAGCTAATTGTATCATCTTTAACTTTGAAAATCAACTCCCTACATTCCCCCTACTTCCATCCTCAACAAAAGATGTTTGAGAGAAGAGTCCTTTTGTTTATTGTAGTTACACACCAAAAATTGAAGATTAAAATTAAAGAAAAATATGGAAGGGGCATGTGTAAGTGTCGATGGAAGAGGAGTCACAATAATGACCATCAATTTACTAACCGAAGTCAGTTGTCAACGCGATGAGGTTAGGTGTTCCCGACAGAGGAAGGTCAGTTGTCACGGATGCCCGAAGTGCACGGTGACGAAGTCGTGAAAATGAAATTCACATCTTCTTCATTGCGGTTTGTTTTCTTGGAAAGCTGCAACGTGATCTCGATGGGAGGGAAAATAGATACACTGGAGAGATATGGAAGCAAAGAAGTGGTGGGGAAACTTATTAAGAAAGGACCTTAGTCTTCAAATGAGGTGGTAAACGAAGAAGGAGGTGGCAGAAAAGGGAAAGGGCATGAGAAAAGAAAGAGAATGACTCAGCTTGTTTGAGGCGGTGTAGAGGAGGCAAGCAGTTGACGCCGCATAAGTTAAGAATGGGGAAGGCGGTCTTTCTAACAACGCCGCCAACAAGGAAAACCCACCACCAAGCCTTCTTCCTCATGGTGATGTCAGGCTGACCAGAAGCAAGCACCAAGACACCTTTCATAGCCAAACGACGCCGTTTCTTTAATCCCAGTGTGTCGTCAACACTATTTTGGGCGGAAATGAGTTTAAGCACACAAAGAGACAAATTAGCTATAGGTGACGAAGGCATGAGAGCGGTCGGTGAGGAACTTCTGATAGACGTGGACTCGTTAATATTTCAGAAAAGGGTTTCACATATATATATATATATATATATATATATATATATATATATATATATATATATATATATATATATATATTTAATAAAAATCGGGTCCTACCTTATGTGGTCATACACTCTGTATTTAATTTTTTCATTAATAACCCTATGTTTTTTTTTTTTTTTTTTTGCTATGTTTACCCAAACCTCCACCAGGTCGGGTTGAATCACATGTTAAAATTTGGGCCTAAATTCTAGAGAAGGTAGGGTTTTTTTTTTTGGAAACAAGGGTTTAATCGTTGGTGTTCTCCCACTGCCGTTGACGAAGCCGCTGCCAATTTGGACGCCTCCTTCAGCAACTCCTACTATTGCAGGTAAGGGTTTCTTTCCCCCTAAAAAAACATTCCCAGCACATACATCGATATCTTCATCTCGTTTCATGTAAGTCGAAAAGCTGAGAGGATTTCACCGTCGATTCTGCATTCTCCTCCGCCTGCTACATCCCTCGACGTCTGCCCTTCCTCCTTGTGAGTAAATACATCCGAAATACAGCCGAAAATCGATTCTCAGTAAATACATCCATTTGTTCTTTTTCTTTTTCCCCTGAATTCGGTTATAAGTTCATATATCGTTTTTTTCCCTGAGTTCGACTATAGTGCATAAATATTTATATGTCTGTTCTTTATTCTTGTGTAATTTATCAATGTTGTGATATTTTTGCTGATAAAATATGAAATCTGATAATATTGCTGAAATCATATGTTTGTTGTTTGCTTGATGAAATCTGAAATGTGATAATGTTGATGAAATCATATGCGTTTTGCTTGTTCTTTTTTCTGAAATATGATAAGGTTTTGCTTATGAAGTCATATGCTTTGTTGTTTTGTTTGATGAAATATGAATATTAGCATGTAATGGATTCATTAAATGAAAGTACAATGGTATATCTTAAACACGTGGTGTCTATTATTGGAGAAGATTTCATACTCCACAAGCTTAGGGAGTTCATTAACATCAGATTTGTTATGGATTGAAGTAAATAGATTATAGTTTACACAAAAGGGTATTTTGGGCAATAAGTGAAAATTAACAAAAGAAGAGAAGATTTTTACTTTTTAGATATGTTTTAGGTTATACATGGAGTTTAATCATGTTGTACCTTTTTTATAGTTGAAAGAATCATGAAGCTCTTGAGTTGGAGCTTTTAATTGTTTTGGGCGCAACATTTAAGAAACAGGTTTGTCTTTTGTGATTTGAAATCTTTATTTTCTTGTATTATTGCAATGAGTTGCTTTGGGTATAATGAAGAAATGATAGTGTCATGTTTGATTTGGATTTATTTTTAATTTTCATTTATGTTTAATCTGAATTTTATATGGTGTTTGTGTATATATATATATATATATATATATATATATATATATATATATATATATATACAATTATTCAAGATGTTGATTCACTTATTTTATAAACAATAAATTCAGCAAAAAATAACACAGAAGGGTAAAATGATCATTTTTATAATTCAGCAATGCAATTCAGAGGTTCCAACCAAACAACATTTGAAAATTCAGATCTTAAAAATTCAGACCCTCTTAGAAATTCAGACCTCTTAAAAATTCAGCTCTTAAAAATTCAGATCCTGCCAAACAGCCCCTTACTCTTGTTCTCTCTCACACACACTCCTACTCCTCTCGCACAACTCTCGTTCGCGTTCTCAACTTGGAGTTATATGCAAGAAATAGAAACGTGATTTCAGTGATTTATTAGTATAATGATGAATGATTTCTGACTAAAAAATACATTACCAAAGTAAATTGGTCTTTTTGTTAACTGGGTAACAGAACCCGACTTACCACTAACCCAATTAAACCAATTTATTACGGTTCGGGCCTAAACCACCTGATGCTCACCCCTTGTTTATGCATCTGTTTTCTTACAACAGATTCAAACACAATTCAAGAGATGAGAGGCATTGAGCTATCATTGAATCAAACACAGAAACTAAGGCTGCAAAGAGCACTCGAACTGTTGGAATCTCTGTCTTCAGGAACCAATTCTGATGCTTCCGTCACTGTGGCCGATTCTATCCCCGTTAACCAAGAAGATGGTGTTCTCAAGTAAATATAAACCCTAACTAATGTTTACTTTCCATATGCAAATGTTATATTGTGTGTTTTATGCGAATTTTGATGTTTATTTATGTACTGCATGTACCGATGCGGAAAAGTATGAGCAAGTACCAACTTTGTAATTACAAATCATGTCCATTCCCATCCTCATTTATCCTAATGTAGTCTTAGGAATCATGGAATTCGTGCGTTAAGCTTCAATTTTGAAATGATTTTTTTTCCTTCTTTTTTCCATATTGTAATATTTTTAGGGGTCATGGGACGACAGAGCTTGAGGGTGAGGTCGTGGCAACCGTGTGTGGAGTAATCGAACGTGTAAATAAATTGGTCTATGTTCGCACTTTGAGAGCTAGGTCATCAGCAATATATTTACCTGAATTTTTATGTTTCATAAGAGTGGAAGCAAAATGCTTAATGCTGAATCTTAAATTGGTGTAGGTATAAGCCTGAGGTTGGTGATATCATAGTAGGCCGTGTTATTGAGGCAAGTCCTAACTCGATTTACTGCTTCTGTTCACTTTAGTTTTATACCAATAGCTTAATCCGCCTGCATATATGCAATTCTTCTCAAGTGAAAAGATAAAATTTGTAGCAGTTGTGTTAAAATGTTTGATACAAGTGAGGAATGTGTTGTTAAGTTGATCAGTGGGTAGTTAGTATTTTGGTTAACAGAGTTTTGTTTTTCATGATATATATGAAGGTTGCTCCAAAGCGGTGGAGATTGGAGATTAATTTTAGCCAAGATGCGGTATTGATGCTTTCTTCAATGAATTTACCTGATGGAATCCAGGTATATATCTCCCACTATGTCATATGGTCATGTTAACGTGTATGAATGCTCTGTGAGCTTAGTTTTTTTTTTTGTTATAATGCGAGAAAGATGTATGATGTGTAGATTAGTGTACCTATCAACTTTGTTTCTTTGTTATTTCCAAACTTGTTTGGATTGTTGTGTTTTGTCTTTCTCATGACCATCCTTAAATTGGCAGAGGCGACGGACTGCAGTTGATGAGCTCAACATGCGTACCATTTTTGAAGAGAATGATGTCATCTGTGTAAGCCCATAAATCTCGTGCGTTTATTCATACAAGAAAGGCCTTTTTTTTTTTTTTTTTTTTTTTTTTTTTTTTAAACTCCATGTATTGTCCGAAATGAAGTGCTGTCCGGATAAATGATGTTTATAACATATCTGAGAAAAGACGATACACTTGGATAAAGTGGAAGAAACCAATAAATGAATGCAAGTTTATATAAAAGAGTTAGATTTGATTATTTTCCTGAATTTCTCTATTAAGTAAAAAAGAAACACTCACTTAGTTCAGTTCATTTTGTAAAAAAGAAAGAAACAACACTTTAGTATTCATTGTGTTATTTATACTCGATGAATGCCCCGATTAATCATTATGCTGTTTGTTGTAGGCTGAAGTCCGTGATTTCATGCGTGATGGTAGTCTACAACTGCAAGCAAGGAGCCAGAAATATGGAAAGGTTTGGCTTGCTTTACTATGTAACCTATGTGTTTATGTTGTCTTTTCTTGTCCACAAGTATGGAAAGATTCTAATTCCTTCCAAGAAATTTTTTCATTTTGTTAGCCTGTTGGTGTATCTTAATGGAAGATGAGTTTGGATGATGTGATTCTTTTTAGCTTAATGATTTAATGATGATGGTAATTTGCACGTGCAGCTAGAAAGGGGTCAGATGCTGACAGTATCTCCATATCTAGTAAAGAGGCGCAAACAACATTTCCATCATCTACAACAGTATGGAATCGACCTCATACTTGGTTGTAATGGCTTCATCTGGGTTGGTGAACATGTCGAAACTAAAGATAACATGGTAGAAGACGAACCAATTAAACCCCCAAACAAATCACAAACAACCCTTGAAGAACAAGAACAGACCTACACTCCATTAGAAACCAGGCAAAACATATGCAGGATTGCAAATGCTATCAGGGTGTTGTCAACATTGGGCTTTAGCATTACACTTGATGTGATTCAGGAGGTTGTTGATCTGAGCAGCTCCAAGGGCCTGAATATACATGAGATGCTTGCTGCTGAGTTTTCTGTTTTGGTTGCTGAAAGAGAAGCTGAGCGAAGAAGCTCCTCAAGCTCAACTCGAAGAAAACGATAAGATTCATATCTTATATAATCTATATGTATGGCTATTATATATAGTTTCTACTCCTTACTCCTTAATAGAAAACTAATCTGTATCATTACCATTGAAGGATTTATTGGATTGTGGAATGTGGATCAACTTGAATTTTTACTCCTTACTCCGTTACATTTCTATGTTTCTTCTAAAAAGTTATCCTTGAATCATCTGTTTCGTGCTAGAGTTTTGTTCAATGTGCTGTAAACAATTTTACATTTCTGTATGTTCGATTGTTGTTCAACTTTCAAATATTCTTGTCACTGATTATCCTTAGGGTTTTATTTTTCTGTTTGTGTTGAATTTGTGCTTAAAGTTTACAATTTGGAAGAGAAATAGAAAATATTAGAAGGCATAGCATAATTTCATGTGTTATCATAATTTTTCTTTTAGAAGTTACATTTCCATGTTTTTTGTACACAAATGACCGTGAATTCATCTGAATGCATTTGTAGTTTTGTTCTCCACTTTTGTGAACAAACCTAGTTTATGTATGTTCAATGCACAGTTCAAATTTCTCATATTTTTTGTAGTGTTTATCCTTAAGCTTCTTAATTTTCTGTTTATATTGCATTTATACCTAATATCATCAACTCTTAACGGTTAAGTCCATAACTATCATCATAACCGTTGCACTAAATTTTTTCTTGTAAACAATGAACCTGAAGTTCATCTGTTCTTCTGAGAATCCATTCATTGATCACTCAAACATAAACCATTTCTCACTATCCTATACGCATGAAATAAATCTTCCAAATTTGTAAATGGCAAACTTATTAGATAATAAAAAAAGAATACAGAGGTTTTAAAAGAGACTAATTACAGAAAGATTTAAAAAAAAAAAACACCTATCCTAAACAACCAACCAATCCACAACCACTGCCAATTCCATTTCTTCTAGATAGTCCCCCTCGAGCCCATGCTCCACTGATCAATAACACATTCCATACCCAAATTCCAGTATTCATCACACAGTCAAAGAAATTCTGCATACTCATAATGATCATAAACCAGTAACCACTCCAATAATTATTCAGTTAGAAATGAAAGAAACTCTCAACACCTAAATCCAATCCAAGAGTTGACATATGCCATAGTTGTTAAATGTTCCTTTCAGGATACACATCTAATTTCGAAGAATCAAAGTATACACATCCAATTAAGCAATTAAGAGAAGGATTAGATGCAAATACTATAACAGTGAAACTGTTTGGACCATGGAAGATCTTTACCTTTAGTGAGAACCCTAGCAATAGTGGTAGCGATTCAACAACTATAGAAGAACAATCGAGATTTGAGCATGGATTCTAAAAATCTTGAGCTTTAAACCTGTCGATTAAGAGCATGAGCCCAATAGGTGAACTCGTGAAGGTATCTGTCGATTGAAATTCTTGGTCGGCACTGTAGATGAAGGCAGTGAAGGAGGTGGGCGACGCTGGAGATGAAGGAGGTGGTCGGAGGCTGAAGCCAGAAGCGGATCAAGAGGGAGAGGACTGGAGTCTTGTGCAAGGAGAAATAAGGAGAAGGGTAGAGGCGTTTCTTTTTCTCAGTCAGCATTGTTTTTTGAATGACTCGGTAAGAGCAACATGGACCGAGTAAGAGTTTTGAGCGGTGCTATCAAACATTCTGATTCAGCTAAGTAACAGAGTTGTTAAGCTAATTAATTTTTTGGGTTTTTCACATATAGGTAACTATTTTTTTTTTTACACATCTAGGTAACAAACTTTTTGGAACTGTTAACATATGATCATTATGACCTACTGTAGCAGGTTACATCCAGCTACAACAGATCATAATGGTTATATGTGAACAGTTTTATCAAGTTCGTTATCTAGATGTGTACAAAAAAAAAAAAAAATAGCTACCTAAATATGAACAAAACCAAAGGTAAGAGTAAATTACATGAATGGTCCCTATGGTATAGGGGAATTTGTGCATTTGATCCCTAACTTATTCTTTTTAACTCGGATGATTTCTACTGTTTATTTTAAGGTAATTAACTTTTCGGGTTTTTCACATATAGGTAACTATCTTTTTTTGTACACATCTAGGTAACAAACTTTTTGGAACTGCTCACATATGACCATTATGACCTGCTGTAGCAGGTTACATCCAGCTACAACAGATCATAATAGTTATATATAAACAGTTTTATCAAGTTCGTTACATAGATGTGTACAAAAAAAAATAGTTACCTAAATATGAACAAAACCAAAGGTAAGAGTAAATTACATGAATGGTCCCTATGGTATAGGGGAATTTGTGCATTTGGTCCCTAACTTATTCTTTTTAACTCGGATGGTCTCTACTGTTTATTTTTGTTGTGCGCTTAGTCCCTGTCTTACCTAAAAAGACTATTATGCCCTTATTAATTTATTTTTTTAATTAATTTTCTTATTTATGTTTTTTTATATGTTTAAAAAAATTAATAGACCCCACATATCTGTATCTCCTCACCGTAAATCTGAAACGATATTTGAGAAATTTAATTTGGATCCCACCGGTCACCATCCCATCTCACATCCTCTTTAACCTCTATTTTCTTTCAATCTTTAGTGACATGGAAGTCTTCATCATCCTTTTTTTTGGTCATTCAACTCTGGCGAACAAACACCATAACCCACGGTCTCTTCACTTTATTGGGTTGTGGTGTTGGTTCGTTGAAGTTGAAGGACCGAAAAAGAATAGATGATGAAGACTTCATTGTCATTAAATATGAAAAAGAAATAAAAGTTTAGGATGATGAAAGATAGGATGGTGAGGAGATACAAATATGTGAGGTCTATTAGTTTTTTTAAACATATAAAAAAAATACATAAATAAGGAAATTAATTTAAAAAAATTAAATTAATAAGGACACACTAGTCTTTTTAGATAGGATATTGACCAAACGCAACAAAACAAAACAGTAGGGACCATCCGAATTAAAAAAATAAGTTAGGGACCAAACGCATAAATTCTCCCAAACCACACGGACCATTCGTGTAATTTACTCTTACTTTTGGTTTTATTCATATTCGGGTAACTATTTTTCTTTTGTACACATCTAGGTAACGAACTTGTTGAAAGTGTTCACATATAACCATTATGACTTACTGTAGCCGGAGGTAACCTGCTACAGCAGGTCATAATGGTCATATGTGAACAGTTTCAAAAAGTTTGTTACCTAGATGTGTACAAAAAAAAGATAGTTACCTACATGTGAACAAACCAAAAAGTTAATTACCTTAATTAGTCTTATTCACATTCAGACCTGGCCCTCTTACTGGACCCAGTAAGAGCCTTATCAAACAAGCCCTTAGCTTATTTACTCGATAGGTTGAAATTGTCACCTCTACTTTTGTGATTATCCAAATATAAAGAGTGTTGTTAAATTGACATCCTTTAGACACCTTATAAACATTTTTATTAAAAATCCACTAATAATTAACTATTTATAAATTAATTTTTCAGAAAACATTGCAAATTCAACCAATAAAAATATCTTAAAAACCAAATAAGGTGTCTATATGTAAAAATGGACGTCTTATTAATCAACCCTGCCAATCCACTACCTTTAGCCTTTAGGAATACAAACCCTTGATTTTAGGCATTTTCTTTTTCTCCGGTCTATATATCAAGAAGTTGCTTTTATGGATTAAAGTTAGTGAGGTTGGATTGACCCAAAAACACCTTCTGTCCAATTTTCAATATGACAAATATATTAAATATTATATAGTTTTTAAAATACTAATTTAATTATTTTTACAAATAATTAATAATTTTTAAGCATTTGAACATAGATGAGATGACTTTTACTTATTTGACATGTTTTCTTTTAAGCTAATAGTTAACAGTTTTGGGCTGTTAAAAACAAAAGAATCTTATGCAACCCATTTATGGGTTAATGACCAAAGCTGTGATATCTAATTCTAGTCATCATAGGGAGTGAAGTATAAGTATAGTAAAAAATTTCTCGGACATCTTTGGTTTTACTCTCATGAGTCATGCTCTTTTTAAAAATTAATTTCGTCAAAATGGTATTATTTGGATCCAAGATAGGATACCTAATAGAACTTCAACTTAATAAATGAGAGTAGAAGTCAGGTCAAGGAAAACAGGCTAAAAATCACAAGCCAACAGATTCCAACTTCCAAGCTCACCAAGAGAAGCTTAAACAACATTTGCGATTTACCCACCCAAAGGCCTATCACATGAGGGTAAATCGCAAGGTACCATCAATAGTTTTTTTGGGCGTGCCAGGTTTTAAACCCTTTACCTTCCTTTAAGAATGGCACCCTTCATCTACTTGGCTCCCCTTACAGGGACAACAATGATAATTTTGAGCCCCTATAAGCCTTAAATTGTGGGCTACCACCATGGTTTTAAGTTGGTCAAGAAGTTATTGGGCTATTATGTAACTTTGGGCTTTGGCCTTTGGGCCTCGGGTGTTACACGTAAGTAGAAGTATATAAATATCTTGTTCTCATCCTTTGTCTAAAAGGGTGTGTCCTTATAATGATGATCAATAAAGATACAAGAAAATACATAAAGAAACACCATTACAATTTTAACTTCTAAAACCTGTTTTAGACATTGATTTGCATAACTGTTCACTAATTTGTGAGTACTATTTTCTGTCATCGATTATGAAAACTAATACATGGGAGAGACAAAAATAAAGTGACATAATGTAAGATATGGTACATACCTCATAATATTTTGAGATCATGTAGGCTCCATTAAATCCGTTCTTATGCTAGCATAATCAATATGCTACAAGTAGTCTTCATCACTATCCTCATCAAAATCAGACATGATTTTGGGGTCCTAAGTTCATGTATGCTAGTTTCTAAGTCATAGGTAAGCATTAGAAGGGTTTTGGGCTTCTAAACCCACTTATGGGTGTTTACAGTTTTTTTTTTTTTTTTTTTTTTTTTTTGGGGGGGGGGGGGTGTTCCTCAGCCATAAACACATGATTTTGAGGCTTTTGGATGATTCAATCACGAATTTGCATGCATACCAAGCTAAACAACAAGTTAGGAAGGATTACTTACAATTTTGGAGCTTGAAAGGGACGTTTTTCGATCAAAATTCGACTTGTAGAGAGAGAAGCTTTAGAAGTGGGGAAAAAGCTCAATTGAAGGTCACTCAACCCTTATATAGGGTTTGAGTTTGCGGCCAGGTGGGGATCCAACCGATCCCGACGTTAAACGGAGTTCATGGTCGTACCCGATTAAATGGTCGTAACCCGAATTGGTCGTAAACTAAAAATTTTTCCAATGAATTCGAGGGTGTAATACGTGTTTCTATTTAGTTTCAACACTTATGAAGTCATAATAAAAGTCTCAATTTAATTTGCCTAATCCAAAATGTGAAATAGATCCTCTTGACAATATTCTCTAGGGCTTAGAAAGATGTAGAAAAGGCCGAAAATCAAGACCTAGATAATGAATAGACAAGTTTTCAACTTTGTACCTCTAACAAGCTGGAAATATGCTCAAAACTCTGGCTCTTCTTGTTCCCCTTAGATCTTACAAGCCACTTTCTTCTTCTTCAAGCTTCAAATGCACAATATAACACCACAAGGCTCAAGAACACACTAAAAATGACTAGGGTTTCGATATGAGGTCTTCAGGGAGCATAAGGGACGATGGAGGCTGCAATAAGGCGGTTAAATAGGGTGCAAACCCTCAGATTTAGGGTTTCACTCACACAATACCTACTCGCTGAGTCAGCCTTTCGACTCGTCGAGTAGGTCACTTAAAATGTCTTCGGGTCCCAACTCTACTCGACGAGTTGGGCCTCCAACTCGTCGAGTCCCAGACAAAAATACATAAATGTTTAAATTAATTGC